TTTACCGATTTCGTCATTTAGTTGCGGTAAGTTGAAAAAATGGAACAAATAAATGATACAAATGGAGCGGTTCGATCGAAAGTTGGGTGGAAATATTTGCGAAGTTGCTTCACAGCGAGTGGCAAAGAGATGGTTTCAGCAATAGTGTTAATAATAAATAATCGAATCATGCTCTCGACTAGCTCCATAAAAGTCATTCTGTCTGAACTTCGACCAAATGCACCCGAATGAATTCTGATTCGGTCATATCACCCATACTGCTTCAATTATTTTCTTGTTAACTGTCTCTTCTTGATAATCAGCAAGACACGTCGCAATACAAAAGATGATTACTTCACAATCGATGGCTCTTCAAACTTTAATCTTCAATTCTTATAAGAAAACAGCTAATGTAGTATATATGCAAACTTAATGCTAATGTAGATATGCAAGCTAGCACATCAACTAGATGAGTGGCACACCAGGAACATGACTGGGATTGTTGTCGATCGCGAACGGCTCAACGAATTTTTCGATGAGGTTTGTTGGCATTGTAGACACTTGTTTCTTGATGCCTACTTTCATGAATAGCGCATATCCACACAACGTTAGTGCTTCGTTTATCCCCACATCAAACCGTTCAAGCTTCAGCTTATTTATCACTCGCAAATCACTTAATTGGCCTGAAATTAATTCTTCGCTAGTGCATTTATTCAGTTGACATTACTCTCCTCGCTCGTATTCATCACTTTTTGTTATACTGTTTATATTAATTTTCAAATTCCAATAAGCTCTTACTTTCACAGAACCGATCCTCAACCGTTGTGAGCCATTTGGCCATCTGAAAATTTGAAATATCTTGTTCAGATGTAACATTGAAATGCTGTGTCTTCAAATGCTATACCGTATAAAATACTTTGAATTAATTTTACCAATGAAATTGATCATTGTTATTGCTATGTAACTGTATACAATTTATATTCTTGTGAATATAAATTGTGAATATATTCTTGTGAAACTGTTGATATGAATTTCGCATATGTGCGATAAATGTGACCAATTACTGCTCCGAATCGAATCGAAGGGAGCGTTGGGCACTACGATTTACATTATTATTGAACAACGACGACGAAGAATGTATTTACACTTACAGCCTGTAGGACATCCACACATTCGCTAATGAATTTGACTCACTCTGAAAATGTCTGTCAGTTCGGCAAGTCCATATGCCCAAGTACTCGTAAAAATTTGCTCTCGTTGACGTGATAATGTCTCAAAATCTGATCGTCTTTCCATTATTCTCGCCAGTATAGTACCATTCGTCTCTATACTGCTATCGTAAGCCGGCGTATAAAATACCTTCAATTTATTTTACCAATGAAATTGATCATTGTTATTGTTATGTTACTATATAAAATCAACCGTGAATGATCATGACCAGTCAATCTGTATAAAGACATTTCGTCTAACAACAGTTTCTCAAAAGACATATTTTCTAGCGGACAGTTCGTCTAATGCACTGCCTAATGGGCGTGTCATAATGTTAGATGCAACCGTTTAGAACATGTTGGGAATATTCATCTCGTCGCTATCATTAGAACACCCCTACATATCGAAGTTCGTGATTTTGATGGTTTCAATTAAAGTCAACTTTTNTTTATCACTAGTGGTGGACAGTTTGCTTCAGCAGTCTCAGCCAAGGAACTATGTTCAGATGTATACACAACATATTCCCATAACAATAAAAGGACGTATTTTTTATTAATTATGCTTGTCAGAATACATGAAATTGGATAAAATGCTGATGATAACCATGTTCATAACAGTAATAACGTATGATAGCTGATAACACCTATAATAACAAGAAAAGTGGGAGTAAAATAATCAACAAAAACAGTGAAAATGGTAATAGTAACAGTAAAGACAATAAAAGTAATAACAATAATAAGCAAAATGTTGAGACCGATAGCAGTAAAGATTATAACAACATCAATGACAATAATGAAGGTAGCCACGATGAAGGTGATGACAAATAATGATAATTATAATAATAATAGCAATAATATCAATAAAAATAACCGCAGTGATAATAATAAAAG